GATCAATAAATTTTGGTTATTTGTGAATTATATTATTTTTTGAGTTAATATTGCTAATTTTCCTTTAAAATTTTGCTAGAGTTTCTCAAGTGAGAAAACCATCTTCTTCTCTTTCTGACTTTTTTTTTCTATTTTTACAAAAAAAAAATTAATACAAAAAACCTACTTAAAAACTTTCAATGGCTGTGTTCTAGCTTTTTAAGCAAGTTTATGTAGCTTTTGACTAATTTAGTTTACTTTATCAATGAATTGGTTGTGGAGTATTTGTTTATCTCTCATAGGAGTGTAAAAGATATACTAATCAACCATACTCTTATATCATCCACCAACTAAAAATAACCGAAGAAAAAATTACACAAACTAATTTAAAAACGTAAAAAAATGACATTATACTCAAAAACCATTAAACGATCCGTTAAACTTTGATGATAAGGACGGACATCAGAACGACTTTGTTTCATAAGCTATGCAAATTAATTCATACACATATAAATAATAAACTAGTCATAACTAACTTTTTTTTTTTTATTTAGTCATAACTAACTTACATAGACTAACTAAGGTTTTTCTAAATACGACGTTGTTTGCCTTAGAAGCAGGCAGTTTTGAAATCGTATCAATCCGGATGTAGAACCAATCCATATAAGTTTGATCATAACGTTACTTTTCCTCTGAACTCTTAGTTCACGTACGAATAAATTTTAACTTTCCCGAACAAGTTTTGATAATTGTATACACAAACGTAAAAAGTAATTTGAAGCAGATTAATCATTGAGATTGGGTGGTCCAGCTAGTGTGTAGACTCTATAGAGCATGTGATAAATGCGTAAACCGAACTACCGAAGTGTGTGGTGGCAAATAGTAGAACAACTAGTATTTAAACAAGTCTAGTTTCATCAGCATTTCATCAATACAAGCTTAATCATATATACAGTGTGATCAAACAAGTAATCAACCAAAAGATGGAAGGCAAAACAGTGATTCTAAGTGTGCTCATAATGAGTCTTGTCATGGCGCAAATCCAAGTGGAAGCAAAGAGCTGTTGCACGTCCCTTAGGGCTAGATCTATCTTTAATGCTTGCCAAGACCCCCCGCAAGAGTGTGCTAAAGCCAGTAATTGCATAATCTATTCTGGGGAGACATGCCCTCCCGACTACCCTTATGACATGCTCAAATACTCGGGTAAATCCCTTTTTATGTATGTTTTATATTTGTTTCAAGTTTTCGTTATTGATGCATGTATTTTAATTTTTGACTCAAGGTGATGGTGTCAATGAATACTGCAAGTTGGGATGTACATCCTCTCTGTGCGGTGCCATGACCACTCTCCAGAAATCCGGTATATATAGACAACTCTCCAAACTCATCATCATTTATTATTGCAATTGTCATTATCTTAGTGACAAGAGACTATTGTTCAAATTATATTGTTTCGGTGATTAGATGCAAGTGAAATTGTGAATGGAGCGGTTGAACAATGCGTCAAGGCATGTTCTACTTTCTGCACCAAGGGCTCTAAAATCGCAGTTGAAACTGCATAAACAAGCATATCCACGAAATACCACGTCCAAGTTTCAGAGTGTCAATGTTTTCAATAAATAATGTGTATGTGACGAATAAATGCTAGACTATGATGCTAGCTAGTAGTATCTCAATACGTTGTGTCCGGTTTGTATATGTGTCGATAGAAGGAAGGTTGTCAGTCCCTAAATTGTATATGCCTTCTACTTCCTATCATCTAAATAAATAATAGTTCATGTGTCCTTCTTCTAAGGCTATAAAAAGTTTTTTTTTTTTTCTTAAGGGCTACAAAAAGTTAATATTATTCCACACTTGCAACAACAACTTCTTGCTTTGAACGTAACCATATAAGCAGCTCATATCATAATATATATTAAAAAAAATAACATGATTGAAAAATGAAGTTTTTATTTTGTACGAAGTGCATTTACTTTTTCATATTGTATCATTTGTGATAAAACTTTTATGCGATACTTCTATTCAAAAACAAAATTTTCGTGCAATATGATTTGTTTAGGTCCGGATATACATCGTGGATTTTTCCTTTCCGAAAACAACATTAAAATACTATACTGCCTAATTGATTTAGTAAATTAGTTTAGCTGGTTAAATAATTTACTACA